CCATACTTTGAGAGCACCATGGAAAATGAAACCTGTCAGTAGAGAATAAAATTCTGCGTCTAACACAATCTAATAGATAAAATGAAACATGAGCGTTGTGTGGGTGTGCGAATATAGGTCTTCGTATGATAGTATAGAAGTCCTAACTTCAGTCACGACAGCCGAAACATGCACACACTCAGACAAAGATCTATATTCATTGTCTTCACCAACACACACTTCAGATCAAAACCAACGTCTTATCATCTTAAATATTCTTTCATTCATCTCTCCTTTATATATGTTTTTTATGTCGGATTAATCCAAAGGAGGAAAAGTGTATTTATATATCACGGAAAGACGCCTTTTCCCTTGAATGAACAATTTCGTCATCAATGGTACAACTTTCCACGGCTACAATGTTTGCATAAATCTACTAGATAGTACATATAATATAAATTAATGAATTATCTAATAGTCCACAAATAAGAAAGATAAATAATAAATACTCTGGAACAATACGCTTAAAGGCTACAAGATTTTGCGAATCATTTATTATTTTGCTCAACAATGGACATCAAAGCAATACAAGTTTGCATTTTTCCATTGGGGAAAAGAATGAATTATCAGTATTTGTTGTCATACTAAATGAAAGAAAGAACTAACTCCGAAAGACAACGTTTACCAATATGGATTTGTTGACACAGAATATATTTTATTTATTTTCGACAATATGAGTCTATTTACAACTTCACATGTATTTCAGAAAATTAAGAATTCATCCATAGCATATATCTATTCGATTGAACTGCTTCATACAATAGTCATAATGCAGTTTATTTTAGAAAAATAATTCTAGCTTTAAGTATTCACTTGTTCATTTTCCACGAGTGTCAAACTTGAAGCTGGAATTCAATTAAGTTTTCGATTTTGAAGACAGACGTAGTGTGAGTCTTTTCATGGCTTGAAAATCGGAAGTTGAACACTCAATTGAATGCAAGTTTTACATATCTGTCAGGGCAAAAGAAATTATGCTGTTAATACTTTAGAAATTCTTGAGCTTCATCGGATTGGATCTTTTATCAAAAGATATCCCCTTCGACACTGCAGAAATGTATCTACTAATTCATTACGGAATATAAAGAACTAACATGTCATAAGAAATTATAATGAGTACCGAAATTCAGAGAAAAGAAAGTGAGAAACACGTTTCTTTTCGAATAATCTATTAGAAGCTTGTCCAAAATATGTTTATAAGTAACCAACCCCTACATCTTGAACGACTCTTGTTTCCACTGCAATTGAATACAAACTCAGTTAGATTTGAGTGCACGACAATTTCTTAACCATCCTATTAATTTTGTTTATAGATATTTTGATAAACAATATGTACCGTTATCTTAGTTTTATTTCTAAGAATTAAAAGAAAACATCATCTAGTTTAAACGGGTTAAGATGGATTAAATGTATTGTTCGTGTACTGCTGGTTGCAGTAATAGCAATATTCAAGTCGCATATATGCATTAATATAGTTCGCAATCTACACAACGAAATACGCCCTAGTTGAAACAACAGAAAAGATGCTCAAGCCTTGTTATAATGTTTGTGAAAAAGTATATAGTTTTCTGTCAATTGTAGTACGTATTATAATTTCTCATGACAGGTTGCGCCTTCGGATTCTCCGATGAAATGTTCAATACATATTTTTTGCATTCAATTGAACAGGAAACTTTCTGATAAAACATTCATTCCCGTCAAGTTCAAAGAAGAGGAGGAATTCCGAAAATACTAACAGCATAATTATTTGTCTGCTGCTCTTGGTATGTTCTTTTTAATGCTTATACCATGTGATATGCTAGAATAGGGATTAGTTCTTTTTAATTCAGTTCCTTTTACTCGATTTATTATTGTAGTATTATCCGATTGCTGATGAAAGATCGATGGTTTTACTACTCATAAAAAACTCATCAAATACTTTCTCTCTTGCTACTATTCAACGGATTTGAACAGATGTTCTCTTTAAGTAGATTCACAAAGACGAAAGTAAAAAAGAAACTCCCATTACACTCCAATAATATCGAATGTAGCACTAATGTCTGTTGTATAGTAAGTCAACTTTTTCGAATTTAATTTTGTCAATCAGAGCGACCACAATGAATTCTAAACGATCCATCGAACTAGAAGCAATAAAAAGTAGCTTTAGAAGAAAACGCTATTTCAAAACATAGTAAAATTGAAACAGTTAAGTGATTTTCTTCCTTTTAGTTCATACAAAATCTTCTTCAATAATAATTGAAGATTTTGCTGTTTTCTTGCTTTTTCAATAAAATTTCAGTTCGATGAATGGTGTTAATATGAAATCAAACGTCATTTGAACTATAATAGTATTTATCATCGCAGAAATATAAGATTCTTGAAAGTCAACGTTTCCACACCATTTTATTTGGTGTTTCTTTACATATCGTTAGATAGATCTCTTCGAGCTGACCAAGCACGTTTATTTTTGATGAAATCTACTACTAGTTTTTGTAGAAAAACATTCGAAAAACTTCACAAATTTTCTTCCCTGAAAAACTACTATTTTTTGTTGTCAACAGTGCTTTTGATAAAATAACTCGATTCTCATTCATTTTTAAAGCTTGAATATATTTTTTTCTTATTCTGCATTGAAAAATGCATATTTTCAACTATATTCCCAAGTTTTAATGTGAAAATCACCATTTCAGGATATGATGGACTCGATGGGGATCTCAGCCAGCAGAGCCTAATTTTGTAAGCCTATCTACTTTTCTGCTGATGAAAAGAACTCATGTGTTATAGACGCTTAGAATCGTCATTTAAGGAGGAAGAAAAGTACGTTGCGTGTGGTTGTGGGTTTTGACTATATGCTATTGATACACCCACACCCTCAAGATCTCGCTTACAAGATGTTCGACTAGGGTGATAACTTGAAATTAGAAAATAGAAAGTTGAACACTGAAGGTTAAAACTTGAACACATCCCAGCTGGAAACTTGAAATTTCGAGTAAATTCAAGATTCAAGTTTTGCTCAGCTGTGAATGATTGGTAGAATGGTGTGCGCCATTGTCCATATTTTTAATCTTTTTAATACCAAAATAACCTTTCCATTAATCACATATAACTCTGAATCAATGAAAATATCGCTTAAATATTCCACGTAGCTATTATAGTGATTTATAATTGTAAGTGTACAAATATATAAATAGAAGACGCAGCCAAACATCAACTTATAAACAACAAATTCTTTTTTAAAGATGCCATAGTATATTCATGACTTTGTGTATGATCTATTTTATTTCAAAGAACGAAATATGAATAAGCTCATTTATAAATTGTATATCTGCTAAATTCTCGTACATTTGAATTCTCTTACGCATATCGCAAGAACCTATATTATATTGTTTCAGATCATTTTAATTCTTCGGGAAACTGAAATTGGAGAAATCTGTATGGCAGAAGGAGAATCTGGTGAAAAACCCGAATCAAGACTTAAACAAAAGGCGGAGAAGCAGGTAAATGTAATACAGAATGTGTCATAAATCTAAAAAAAAACAGAATAACTCGGGTGCAATATCTTTTCTTGAAACGGTTGCATATTCGCCAAAACTTTTTTGATTAATGATATTCTATTTCTGAAGTCAGAACTGTTTTCCGAAAGTATATCGTTCGATATACATAGGGATTATATACGAGTTCAAAAATAACTGCTTTCTGTTTCTCTCTGTGTCTAGTATGAGTGGAAACATCTGGTCGAAGACAATGTTAATATGGAGAAATTAGCGTCGAATATTCGACGAGTGTACAAATTAGTCTATCAAGATAAACAAATTACGCTAACTCATGATGATGAAAACATGCTTGAAAATGCTTGTAGAAAAGCTCTTTCAAATGAACTATTTGTATTTTTGGAGTCTTTGGATGCCGTAGATAACCTTTTACCCTTCGTGATACATTATATTACAACACTCGACGATTTAGCAGAAGTTATTTTTAATGAAAGTCAATCATCAAACTTAGAACTTCATCCAACTATCGCCGCTAAATTAAAGTCAAAATTAGAATTAAGATATAAGTTTCTCGTGTGTGGAGGGTTAAAGGATGATGAAAGTTCGATCAAGCTACTTAATTCTATCTGTGAACAACATCCAAATTTATTATCGTTTCGCAAGCTATCCTACGATAGATTAGTTTCCGATTATCTCTCAGGAGTCAAAGAATATCAAAAAGACATAATAGAGAATGTTTGGATGGAAGGAAACGAGCTGCGAATGAAGATGAAGCAATATGATTTACCATTCTCATGGCTCGATAAATTAGCAGAATTAGGCGTCAGTCGACCTGATCAATTGACGGATAATGTTGTGAATAGACTTGTACAAATGGATAAAACCGCAATGGATAAACAGCTAAGCGAGTTCAAAACGGACAAGGAAAAAATGAGTCTTACCTATGATAAACACAATACGTTTAAAGCAAATTTAACTGAGATGACGAAGAAGGAAAGTCGTCAGGGTAAAGAGGAAACGGCAAATTATGAAAAAGAATTGAAAAAACAAAGAGAACTCACAGACAAATCAATTGAAAGTGTCAAGAATATAAAAGCAAACTTGGAAAAATCCGGTCAAAATAATAAAGATCAACTAAAATCAAAGCTAAAGGATATCGAATCAAAATTCAAAACTGACTGGCACATTAATGAAGATCAATTAAGCAGACCTGAAGAACTACTGAACCAAGTGCTATGCGAACTAAACGAAAGGAAGACACAATTGGATTTAGGTGAAGCGTACAAATCAGATGAAGATATCATCGAACGTATAAGCGGTGGAATTGCATTGTGTGGTATAGATTTAACTGATCCAAAAAAACTGTCTGAAAGGATAGACCGTCCATTGTTGTCTCGTCCGATTTCTTGCCTACTCAAAAGTCCTTCATTAACAGGTGGAAAGAAGTCTAAAACGTTTACTAGTCTCGAAGCGTCAAATCAATTCACACAAACAATAAAAACGAGTGGTATTACAGTTGCTACTGACATTTCAGCATCTGTCTTAATCGTTCATGCCAATGCCGGATTTTCTAGAAGTTCCGAAGAGAGATCAAATTCTTCTGATCAACAAAGGACATTGTCAAAAATAGCAACTCGAGTCGAGTATGTGTCCGCACCAATGAAATGTTTCCGAATATCTCCCGAGGAAATGAAACTATCAACAGAAGCTGAAAACGAATTGATCAAAGTTGATACTTTACCAAGAGCAAGAGTTTTTTTACATCGATTCGGCTCGCATTTGAGTGACGGAACACAACACATCGGAGGAGTATTTATTCGCACGGTCACAGTGAAAGCCGAAGAAGAGACAAATGTGCAGGAATTGGAAAACATAGCAGGCAACACAATGAGTGCTTCGGCAAGTGTTGGTGTTTCATATTCGACTTGGAGTGCTGGAGCCGGTGTATCAGCCGAACGATCCAAAGCAGAAGGATCACTAGAGGGAACGCAGAAAGTCAAAGCTCAAACACAAGTCACAACACACACTGATTGCATGGGTCCATACTGTCTTAATCCTGATTTATTCGTACAAATGTTATATTCAAACAATTCCTCGTGGCATGTGATTGACCGTGGTCCATTATCATCATTTATACCGATTTGGAGAGTTATTTTCCGACGAGACTCGTATCGACCAGAAATAGTTGCAGCAGCAAAGTTACTCCAACGAGCATGGCTATCTGAAGCAATAGTTCATGTATATAATCCACTAATTAAAAATTTGATTAACGAAGAAATGCAACATTTAGAACATAGTGAGTACATTTTGTTTGGTGCTGGAAAGTCTGTTTTCAAAAGTGTTTCTTCAGATTTCAACGTAATGTGAAGTAGAAGAACATGGAAAATGATCCCTACCTTGTGGTTTTTAAACCTTCAGATTATTTGAATAATAATGAGCTTGGGTTTTTGTCAGAAACCAAGCATTCACGTTCAGATTTTAGTTTAAGACTAAGGACGGAACATGTTCATATTTGCAAAGAAAATAAATGTTAAAATATCCTAAATTGATTAGTTCTATAATAGCATAGCTATTCCAAACACGTACTGTTAGAAATATTAAAGATTTTCGAAATTCTATCAATATCGAAGATTACATCATTTTGAAAACTGTCATATAATTTGGAAGACAAATGCTCAAAAGTTTCGTTTTTAAAAGTATACGGGGTACTGCTAAGAAACGTAATCTATCAAAGAAGATATTATGTTGTATTACATCGAAAAATACATTTCGGCAAGAAAATTGTGCATCGTTAAAAAGAATCGTGAATTTAATTAAACCTAAGGAAACTATTTTGAATTATTTGTTGGATGCATATGGTAGAGTCGTTGCTGACAACAAAGTCTCAGAAAATGATAGAGAATCGGCAGTATAAATACGTTTTAGGATCTGGAATAATTGACTTGAGTTCTACGATTATTTTAAAATGCATTTCATATTGTACTTACCCTTGAACAGTAAACTATTAGTTTCTCTCTGAGTTTCTGCATCATTTAGAAAATTGGATTTTGATCTTGAAAAAGTTTTCAGCATCATGAGTTAGCGTAATTTGTTTATCTTGATAGACTAATTTGTACACTCGTCGAATATTCGACGCTAATTTCTCCATATTAACATTGTCTTCGACCAGATGTTTCCACTCATAC